TTTGCGGTACGCGGGCCTTTCACTGTTGTGGCCTCTCCCGTTGCGGAGCACAGGCTCCGGACGCACAGGCTCAGCAGCCATGGCTCACAGGCCCAGCCGCTCCGCGGCATGTGGGATCTTTCCGGACTGGGGCACAAACCCGTGTCCCCTGCATCGGCAGGCGGACTCTCAACCACTGCACCACCAGGGAAGCCCCAAACTACTCTTGATAAGTTGTTTTTACAAAGAAATAAAGCACCTTAGTTTTCAAAAACAAAACAAAACAAATATACACTACTATATATAAAATAGGTAAGCAACCAAGTCGTACTGTATAGCACAGGGAACTATATGCAGTGTCTTGTAATAACCTGTCATGGAAAAGAAAAAAAACACACACACAAACATGTTTGCTATCTTTGTTAACCCATAACGTCTCTCCAGACACTATAACTTAATGATTAAGTGACTAAGTCAAAGCTTAGAGAATTGGCAAAAAGGAATGTTAGTTCTTCGAGTCAGATTACAAGTGAAAAGGCTTGAAATGTGAGAATTTCCACGTTGTAACCTGTTTCTGTTTTTTGTTTTTAAATGAAAGGATTCTCATCGCTTCGGGAAGAACCTGAAACAAGCAATGATCGACATCGTGAGTTTGTTCGGGCTCAGCTCCAATTCCAAAAAGTAAATCCCTTAGCACTGCCGGGAAGGAAAATGAGCTCTTCGGATGAAAAACCAAATGAAAAATAGCTGTGAATCCTGATTGTAGTTCAGGATGAAAATTTGCTCTAAAAGACTCAGACGTTTCCTTTCCTTCGAGGGTTTGGTGTTTTTGCTTTTCTAGATGGCAGGCTCCACCCCATGAAGTGTAACCCTACTCCTTCCAAGCAGGTCCTAACCTGGGGGACATTGGATAAAGTCCCCCCTAAGGTCTTCCCATCCCCTGGTGTTTCTTAAGGGGTGAAACTGTCTTTGAGCGATTTATGGAATGAGTGGGGCTGTGACTTCATACGCGTTGGAAACGACCGACCCGGCACGCTTCCTCGGCGGCCACTGGACACTTGGTACTTATGGGCATTTAATTTTATCAGAGCGATGTAAACATTTGTTTCCTTCCGAGAGAAAAGCATTGTTTAAGCTGCAGATGTTAGCAGTTAATGGCCAACGCACATGCAATGCACTAACCAAGAAAAGCTGTGCTTTTGGAACCCATTCTGTCCCTGTGGTAACCCTGTCGCTGTCTAGTTTGGTCGTCTGCATTTGCCTCTCCATGTTTGAAGCATGTAGTATGTCTCATCTTTAGTTTTCCTGACCTTGCAAGTCTTCAAAACCCAGTGCCTTAAAAACAGAAGGCCCTAAATGTAAGGGAGACCGCACGAGAGATTTATTTTGTAAAGTCTTTAGGTGGAATTGTGGGTGTCTTACTCCTTCTCAACTTACTGGGTGGATAACCCTATGTAGGCATTTTACTGTGGTGTCCCTGTATCCCAGAAGGACCAGTTCCCTTACGAAGGCAGCTGTGCTGCATTCCCCCATCAGACTGCCTTCCTTATGCTTCCTCCTTAAGCTGCAAAAGAAGACGTGGGCGTGCCTCAGAGATGGGGAGCGAGGGATGTGGTGCTCGAAGATTATGTGTCTGGAGTACTCACTGAAAAAGCAAACATCCTACGTGCCTCAGGATTCCTGCTTACCCAAACTGGCAGCAGGGAGAACATGACATTTGCCACTGAGGAAGGAACAAAACTTGAGAAAAGCAAACCTCAGGGCAGTCAGGGTTGGGCATCCCAGCTGGTGAGAGAGGAGACCCACTCCCGTTTCCAGGGAGACGGAGGGAGATGGGTTATCGGTGACCTAGAATGTCGCAGGTGACAGGTGCTGGGTTTAACACAGCCTACCCTTCAGATGGGAGTGCCTTGATCGAGTGATTGACCAAAAAGCGATGAGGCGCTCAATCGTCTTCAGTATTTAATGTAAAAAGAACAGATCATGGAATGAAATAATACCCACTGCCTCTGGGCTGTAATGACAAGCTTAGCTGTCCATCCGTTAAAATCATGTATTTATTTTTCTGACCACTATGTTCTGGTGGGGCTCGCCTCTCTAAGAGTTCTGAACTCCACTGATTCGGTGACGAGGCCGAACCCTTGGAGCCAGAGGAAGGCGCTCGCTGCAGAGCACCTGCATATTTTATTCCTGTACATGTTGTGATGTAAAAACCCCACCTAAATGGGCCAAAGACTTTTTTTTTCTTTTAAAAGCAAGCAGAAATGAGAACAGACAAAAAAAGCAAAAAGGGACATCTAACCACCACAGCAACAAAAAGGCCCTGTTCATCTGTGTTATGTAGTCAAGGAGGCGTGAGGGGGTACAGCCCCTCTGCCTCAGCGAGGCGTAGCTTCCAGTCGAAGCCAGGGCCACTGAAATCATACACTGTTGACCACTGACCAGTGTGTATTATGATTCACGGGTGAATTCGAGCACAAACGTGTTAGCACTCAGACTTATTTGGGCTTGTCTCTCAGGTTTTAAGTGTTTCAAATGTAATCACTGCTAATCCGTGCAGTTATCAATGCAATTTTATATTCCCTAAAAGGAGGAAGAGTGGGTTTTTACTGTACATGTTGAAAGCAGGAGGTAGGAGTATGATGTATTTAATTGAATTTGGAATAAGCCAGTCTTAACGGAGCTGTGGTCTGAATTTGTTATCTTGAATTGGCCATTGCATGTAAATACAATATGCTTTTTTGGATAAATCTTAGAAATGCAGTATGAATGTTATCATTAATAAAAACATTAATCCCAGTCTACCACCGTATTGCTTTCTGTCTCTTTTGTTATACTGATAAGGAGGCTGTAGGTCAAGTACCAGGCTCAGGCACTTGGGACAAAGGTGACCGACCAAGATATGCAGAAAAGGCCTCGGGTTGGGCAGAGTGGACATCGCTCGATTCACACACCTGACAGAGAAGGGTGGCTGCTAAGAAGGGCTGTGGGTTTTGCTGTGATCATTTGTGCATCCTCACCCTTGCCCCAGGGCTTAGAACAGTGCCTGCCACATAATAGGTGCTCAATAAATACCTGTTAAATACATGAACTCTGTTTTCTCCACAGTTCTTATTGAACACCTACTGTATGCTTAGCTCTGTTCTAGGCACTGGGAATACAGCAGAGACCCCAAAAGGTTCTGGCTGTCGTGGAGATCAAATTTCATTGGGAGGAGGTTGAGAACCAAGGAAACCTCTCAAAGGATCTTAAGGGTTCCTGTGCTCTTGTGTGTGTGTGTGTGTGTGTGTGTGTATGCGGGGGGAGAGTAGCTGGCTCTGGGAGGAGGCTGATTTAGAAATGGGTTTGGGGGAATTCCCTGGTGGTCCAGTGGTTAGGACTCCTCCCTTCCTGTACAGGGGGCCCGGGTTCCATCCCTGGTCAGGGAACTAAGATCCAGCAAGATGCGTGGCCGGAAAAAAAAAAAAATGGGTTTGAGCTGAGGCCTGAATGACAAGACAGAGCCGGCCTTGGCCGATCCAGCAGGGCCAGAAGAGCATCTCGGAACTGCAGGTGCTCAGAGGTTCCAGGTCTTTGATCCTGCCCGGCATGGCGACTCACACAGATGGCCGTGCACGCCTGACCCATGGGGACTGCTCACTAGAATGTCTGATGTGTGAAGGAGTGAACGGTACGGGTTGGGGGTTGATGTGCTTCTCAGGCTATTCAAGCTCTTCACGGTTTTTCACTTGAGTTATTCAGTTTATATTGCCTACAGTTTGGGAAGCCTGAGTCGCATTCTCAGGCCTGCCCCCAAACTCAGCTGAGTTCAAAAAGATGTGGCTTTTCCAGCCATAAAATTAAGAGTAAGGAGATCCGCATGCACATGTGTATGTTGATCTCCAGAGAAAGGGCTGAAAAGATACACAGCAGACTTCACAGGGATTCCCTCTTTGAAAGGCAGTGTGATTGTGGATGGTATGGAACCTGAGGGAACTTCAGCTTTATCTGTAATATTTAATGATTTCGGTAGGAGGGTTTATGTACTATACAGGTCTTCATCGACTCTTGATGGGGTTAAGTCCTGATAAGCCCACAGTAAGTCAAAAATGCATCTAATAAGCCTACCCTACCAAACATCATAGCCTCGCCTAGCCTACCTTAAATGTGCTCAGAATACTAACATTAGCCTACAGTTGGGCAAAATCATCTAACACAAAGCCTATTTTATAATAATGTGTTGACTGTCTCACGGAATTTATTGATACTGTCCTGAAAGTGAAAAACAGAATGGTTATAAATGTATAGGTCGTTTATCCTTGTGATTGCGTGTCTGAGAGCTGCCCAGCATCACTAGAGGGGAGCATACATATCCCTAGCTTGGGAAAAGAGCAAAATTCAAAATTTGAAGTTTGGGGCTTCCCTGGTGGCGCAGTGGCTGAGAGTCCGCCTGCCGATGCCGGGGACACGGGTTCGTGTCCCGGTCCGGGAAGATCCCACACGGCACGGAGCGGCTGGGCCCATGAGCCATGGCTGCTGAGCCTGCGCGTCTGGTGGTTTCTACTGAATGCATATCACTTTCCAACCACCATAAAGTTTAAAAATCCTAAATGTCCATTGACAGATGAATGGATAAAGAAGATGTGGTACATATATACAGTGGAATATTACACAGCCATTAAACAGAACGAAATAATGCCATTTGCAGCAACATGGATGGACCTGGAGATTATCATACTAAGTGAAGTAAGTCAGAGAAAGACAAATATCATATGAAATCGCTTATATGTGGAATCTAAAAAAAATTTAAATGATACAGATGAACTTATTTACAAAACAGAAACAGACTCACAGACTTAGAGAAGGAATTTATGGTTACTAGGGGGAAGGGTGTGGGGGAGGGATAGATTGGGAGTTTGGGATTGACATGTACACACTGCTATATTTAAAACATAACCAACAAGGACCTACTACTATAAAAAAAATCCTAAGTTAAGGACATTCTGTATAACTAAAGAAAAAATCTGTCCTAATTTTAGTCTGAAGAAGCAACTAAAGCTTTCTACGGAGTCCTGCCCTATAGATCATAGGCACACAGGAAATGAATTCTCCAAGAACTGGACAGTATTTCAAGGCAAGTATGTTTGCAGTGAACTAGTGGCTGGGAATATATTTTAAGTCGTTCACATGGTAGGAAAATTCCAACAGTGAGAATTTAATTACATTATGTTCTTTTAATGTCAATGTCCCATTATAATTTTTCAGATAAGAAAGTCCCAGCAACTTAAAGCCGTGCCTTAAATTTCCGGATTGTCGACTGTGCAGAATTTTCTTGCGATTTCTTGAACGCTGAAGTGTACAGCCAAATAGTGCATAGTGCTGGTGTACCTTGGTTACTACTGTTTGATTTAGGGACGTAATTTTTCAGTGAGATTAGAAAGCGAAGGTCTTACTTTTTTGTGTGTTTTTTTGGCCGCGCCGAGGGTCTTGAAGGATCTTAGTTCCCCAACCAGGGATTGAACCCCGGGGATTGAACCCTGGGCCTTGGCAGCGAAAGCCCGGAGTCCTTGGGTTGCTTACATTGACAAGAGACGCCTAGTCTTCCTCCCAAGCTCCAGCACCAAGGACCTGAAGTGCACGCTAGGTTGGGAACTTGCATGTGCCGATCCCACCCGCGGTGCTCCGTGGCGGGGCGGGCTCTGTCCTGAGGAGCTCAAGGGCAGAAAAAATACATGGTCAAGATTAAGGTCTGAGGTCAAGCCAGGGAGTACCAGCCAGCGCTGCCTCAGACTGGCCTGGGGGCTTCTGGCTCCCCACCTGAGCCTGGAGCTGCTGGTCCCGGGAGTGTCCTTCCCCGTCCACCTCCCCTCAACTGGCCGGTCCCTGGCCTCCGGCCCCGACTCCGCCCAGCTCGCCCCGCCCACCACCCTCCAGCACTGTCACGGGGGCCGCCTCCCCCGCCCCCATCCCTGCTTATCCCCTCGCACTTCCGGGCCCCGCCCATGCCCCCACTCACTTCTACGCCCCGCCTTCGCATCACCCCCGACCTCTCCCACCCCTGACCCCGCCTCCGCCTCTCCCTGGCCCCGCCCACCTCTGCGAGCCCCCGCCTCCGCGAGCCCCTCCTGCCCCAGTCCGTGGCCCTGCCTTCTCCCCAACCGCCAGTTGCTCGGCCCCGCCCCCGCACTCGGCGCTCCGCCAGCTCCCGGGGCCACAGGTGCGCCGTCTGAGGAGGCCTGACTCGGCGCCCCTCCGGTGCCCGAGACACCGGCCGCTGTCGGGTTTCCCCGTGGTCCCCGGCCCGGCCTCGGGTCTGCAGAGGGGAGGGGGATGGTGGGCCCCCTAGTCAGCCTCGAGGGGGCGGCGGGACCCCCCCTCTCCAGTCGTCCCCGTCAGGGGCGGCTGGACCTCCAGGTCTGCCCCTCGGGAATGACGGACCCCCGCCCCTTTCAGCCCCAGTCGGCCGGTCGGGCCAGCAGGGCCCCTTCTCCGGTCGGCCTCGCCGGGGGGGCGGGACGGGCCCCTTAGGCCGGCCTCTCGGGAGCGGCGGGCCCCCCCGGGTCAGATCCCCAGGAGCGGCGGACCCCCCGGGTCGGCGGCCGGGGCGGGTGGGGGCCGCCGCCTGACTGGGCCGCGTCGTTGCAGGTGTGCGGTCCCCGCCGGATCCCCCTCGCGCCGGGTGCGGGGCGATGCCCGGGGCCCGGGTGCCCCCAGTGGACATGGAAGAGGCCCCTCTGCTGGGCGGCATGTCCAGCCCCGAGGACGAGATGGTGACAGACCTTTTCAGCGCCGAGAGTCAGTTTGTTCCTGAAAACCTTCCCCTGAAAACCCCGGTGGCGGTGAAGCACGAGGCAGACGAGTTCCACGTCTTCAAAGACGCGTACCTGGGCTCCGCGAACCCCAAAGAGCCCCTGCTGCACGCCTTCAACGCCCCGCTCGACGGGGCCTGCAAGGGCAAAGTCAAAATGGAGCTGCTGGTGGATGAGAACGGAGATGAGGAAACGCTCGGGGAGTTCCCGAGTCTTCCCAAGCTCAATCCCCTGGAAGACGCCGTTCTTCCCGCCGCCCAGCAGCCGCACGCCTACAACCTCTACTTCCTGTCCTCCCTGCTGACCCCGCACAGGAGTCCTGCCGTAGGGCCCCTGGGCGCCTGGGCCAGGGAAGGAGCCGCCCACCCCGGCGTCCGCGTGATTCCAGTAAGATCCACGTCGCACAGTACCCCCTGCACCCCTGCCCTAGTGGAGACGGGAGACTTCCTGCTTCTACCAAGATTTTTCTCGTGTCAGTAGCATCCCTGATCGGATTCACTCATTCCCAACAGAGCGCATCCCTTGCTAAATGCGAGATGCATCACCCAGCCAAGCCATTCTACCTGAACGTGAATTAGGTCCTCGGTCCCTGGTTCAAACCTGGCCTAACCCAGCAGAGATCATACAACAAAAGAGGAGGGAAACAAGTAGATTTTTTTCCCTTTTTTTTTTGCAGCCAGGCATGTGGGAGCTTAGCTCTGTAGCCAGGGATCCAACCTGTGCCCTTTACAGTGCAAGCGTGGAGCCCTAACCACTGGACCACCAGGGAAGGCCCTAGAAAGTTTTAAAAGCGGCTTTAGGAAAGAAACCCTAGTGTCTGTGAAAGCAAATGCAGTGGGAGTCTTCACGTGCTCAGCTTTTACATTTTTTCCCCTTTAGATTGATAAGGGTTGTAATTCACAGCCAGGACTCACAGTTAGTACTTGTGTTTGGTGAGCCTTGAAATCAAGGTGTTAGAGCTTCCCTCTGCTAATAAGTGGTTGTTCCTCAAGCATATGTAATATAAATCAGAGTCTACATGAATTCATGGTAATTGTCAGCCAGCTACCCTCTTCTGCTGTGGATAACTACTGGCAATTTTCTGCTTTGTTTTTCTTTGTTTGTCTCTTTATTTTGAACCTGGACACTGGGCAGTGAAAGCACAGTCCTAACCACTGGACCGCCAGGGAATTCCCCTTTTCCACTCTGTTTTTGCTGAAGCTAAACAAATCAATTTTTAAAGGAAACAAAGGATCCGTAAGGAAATGTGCCCTGGCCCCTCAAAAGGATCTAGTTTGGAAAACTAGATTACTCAGCTGTTAAATCATTTTAGTAAGTCATAAATTAAGCTTTTGTGGAACATTTTTGAATTGGTGTTGAGATGGCTGGAGCCTGACTTTGTTTGCATATCATAAGCCGTAGCAGCAGGAGCTTAGATTTGTTTTCTGGTGTTCTTTGCGCATAATCACTGCTCCTTAGTGCACAGGAAAGGTGGGGAGGAGAGGCTGAGGCCTAGAGAAAGCAGAGAGCGTACCTAGTCCCACCAGCTTTCAGCTGGTGCAGAGGTCTTCCTTGGAATCTTTTTCAGATGCCTTGAAATGTCAGACACTCCATTTTGCTACCAGACCAAACATGTGCCCCGGCACCTTTTGCCTGTTGGTTCTAGCACGGCTCCCTTCCTGTACCAAGGGGACTCAGTGAGCATTCACCAGAGCAGGAAAGGAACTAGCTCATGTTAAAATAGTAAATTCTCTTTAAATGTAATTCAGTTTTAGCAAAATAAGGGAGACTATTTGGATGATATTTCTTTGTTTTTTTTTTAATTTTTATTGACAATTTCCTAATTCATTAATAAAATGAAAAAGATTTAGCATGGACATGTTTGTCTTTTAAACAGAGTGGAATTATTTTTCAGTAAATATTCAGGGTTAATTGCTAATTTCCTTTTTCTAGAAATTCATTCCCACATATTGACCTCTGTTTATTCTGTAAAACTAGGATTATACTATACTGTAAGTAGTTCAGATATCAGTTGCATGGAGCTGAGGAATTGATATATTTACTGTATAAGTATTTGTTAATTACAGGAAGATAAGTTAAATCTAAACTTTGATGATGTGGGACTTCCCTGGTGGTCCAGTGGGTAAGACTCCGTGCTCCCAATGCAGGGGGCCTGGGTTCCATCCATGCTTGGGGAACTAGATCTCACATGCCTGCCTAAACTAAGGGTTCCAATGCCACAACGAAGATCCCGTGTGCCGCAACTAAGACCCGGCACAGCCAAAATAAATAAATAATTTTTAAAAATAAAAATAAACTTTGATGATGTGTACATGACAAATTCCCCAAAGCAGAAAGCAGAGGAAAATTGAAAACTTTCTACGTTTCTATAAAATTTGAAATATCTAAATAAAGTTATAACTTGAAATATAGCTAAATTTCCTCTGTCTTTTGAAACATTTATACCTAGATGCTAGTCTGCTGTGCTAAGGGATTTGGCAGTTCATGAAAACTATTAATTGTTTAGATCCCAGATTTTAAGTTAGACGATCTCCAAGTTTGGAGTCAACACCCACACTTTGAAAGATAGTTGTCTGTGCTGTGATTTTATATGAGGTCTTCAGAAAGTTGCCATAGAATCACTCTTCTTTGAAGGACTTTATGACCTGCCTCCTGGCCTCTGGGGAAGCTCACCTGTACTCTCTAATAGGCAGTCTGGGCAGGTGGAGGTTAAGGAGGGGAGGGAGAGATGATGTGAGTGCAGGTTGACTGCTGCTTCCCAATCCTCCGCACATTATCAAATCTTAAAAAGAAGCACCCTGATTTTAAAACACTAATGGTTATTATTTTTTTAGTCATCGACTTTTTAGTTTTTTAAATTCTGTTGATTTTCAGTAACATCATTGGTATCTCTCCCTATTTTTGGTAATTTTGCCGGGGTGTCACTGAGTCATTGCAGAGGATAGCTTAAAAACAAAGTTAAAGTTGGCAGTTATTCCCTACCCTCACTGTTTTCATGTTAATTATTGTCCAACCATTCAGTTAGGGAAGCACTACTATTTAATTATAAACATTACTCTAAATACATTGTAAGTTACCATATAAATATTACTAAAACATCAGCAAGAATGTCAGGCTTCTTGATGAAAAAGCCAAACGATAGACTAGAACATTAATACAGCCTAATGAGTGTGCTCCGAAAGTGGCCATAGAGGAAGCACCATTTCACAACAGAGGAGCACTATTTCACGCGGTTTTAAGGAAGGTCCCATGAGGCAGCCAGCTCCTTTGGAGTAGGGGGCTGTCGAGGAGCTCAGGGGGCAGCTGACCAACTGCAGAATCTTCTCAAGCTACTTATACTGTGTTTTTGAAGCAGCAAGAGGGCCACGTTAAAATCACATCTCCACACCTCGTGGGCAGATGGCCCTTGTCCTCGGGGTCCTTGATCCCCAGTGAGGCTGGTCAGAGGACTTGTCACCCCATCTTGCTGCCCCAGAGAGAGAATAATAGTTGGGAAGAGAGGACACTAAGGGTAAGGCTGCTCTTTACTTAAAAAATGTAACTTCTAGGGGGCTTCCCTGGTGGCGCAGTGGTTGAGAGTCCGCCTGCCGATGCGGGGGGCACGGGTTCGTGACCCGGTCCGGGAGGATCCCACGTGCCGCGGGCTGGCTGGGCCCGTGAGCCATGGCCGCTGAGCCTGCGCGTCCCAAGCCTGTGCTCCGTGGCGGAAGAGGCCGCGGCGGTGGGAGGCCCGCGTACCGCAAAGTAACTTCTACAAAGAATTTTCTGTATTATGCAACTGTAAAGTACAACGTCCAAAATGTGATTTCTAAAATAACGTTTGCTTTTTTAGGTTGAAATCAAGGAAGCAGGTGGTACTATCACAAGTAACAATCTGGAGGAAGCAACTTTTCAGAACCTTCTGGCCCAGGAGTCCTGTTGCAAGTTCCCAACATCACAAGAAGCAGAGGATGCCTCTGGCTGCTCTCATAAGAAAGACTCTAACCCAATGGTAATTATGCCAAAGAAAATGTGTCTGACTAACATTATATCAAATGTTTGACCCTTACCATTACTAAGTCAGCAGTAATATATTTTCAGTCATTATTTTTCATTCTGTTTACTTGTCGTATCAGCATTTTTGGTTGTCTTATCTATGAAAAGAGGGATATAATTAGAGCCTTTCTAATGTTTCTGTCACGTCTAAGATTCTCATTTCTACTTGATCTTAGCAAATCAAACAAAGATTAGGACACCACTCTCTTTGTTGAGGAGAGAAGCCATAAATGACATCAGTCCATGCAGACCAGCGGTTGGCCCAGGAACGGGGCAGCTGGCTGAACTGCATGGTATGGCATGTTGCTGGGATGGTGAAGCTCCAGTTCTGTGGCTGCAGCACAGAGGCTGCTTTCCTTCCTGCCTGCCTCCAAATTCCTGATACTAACTAACATGCATGTAAGATAGGTAATCAGTAACGTTTGTGGTTTATGCGATATTTTTGCATGTTTGTAATTTCATTTAATCCTCTATCAACTCTGTAGGGTATGCATTGTTTTTATCTACGTTTTATGGATAAGAAAACAGAGATGTTACATAGTCTTCTTGTAAGTGGTACGTTGAGGACTCCAGGTCTCGGTGTCGTGAGGACTGGGAAGTGGGGGGAGCTAGGGAGCCCAGCTCCAAGCTTTCTTTTAGCGGAGCCCGGAGAACCAACATCTGCCGTCCCCCCAGCAGCTCTTTATTCCGATAAAGGAGGCCTTAACCCTAAGGCATATACTTTAACTAGAAAATACTTGAAAATGAGCTCGTCATAAACTTTGGCTTAGCTGTGGCATACACCAGTACTCGCCTCTGTCCATGGTTCTCAGGCCCATGGGTTCTGAGAGCAGAGCTGTTCCAGGACACCTGGAGCAGGTGAGCAGGATGAGAGCTCCTCCAGTTCCACCAGCCTCCTGAGTAATGTTAGAAGGCTCCCAGGAGGGACAGGGCAGAGCCCAGAATTGCGCAATAGGCAGGCCTGGAAGGTCCACTCCGAGCCTTTCCCCCCAGTTTGTGCACCTGTGTGTCTGTGGCTATAACTTTATCCTCTACATACAAATAAAATCCAACCAATCATGAATGCTGGCCTCTTACCCACCATCAGCGTGATCTGAAGGTTTGACCCAGTGATCAGTACCTCATTAACGTAGGCTCTGTGTGTGTTTTTTTGGTAACATTGATCCTTTATGGTTATTTGGGTTTTCCTGTCTAGGAAACCCAAAGGCAACCTAACAGCAGAAGCCATAGCTTCTCTGGGTATCTGTGGTTTTACCATCAGAATTAGAAGCTATGCGCAAGCAGAAACAGTGACTTCTCTCACCTTCATGTCCAAGCTGCCTCGCTGTGGACAGGGCTGACTGGTGTGGTTGACCGGCCAACTCACCCGGCTCACTGAGGACGTATTTATGGTCGGAGCCCAACTAGGTGATCTTAGGGTTAACCTTTCTAAACCGCACTTGTAGGAAATGAAATAAGTGGGTATTTTAAAAACACCCTACATGTTAACTAATAACATGTGCATGTGGCAGGAAAGAACAACTGCCGTAAAATTGACGATTATTCTAAGTATCTGGTCAGCTACAGAGATGGAGTCGGGGGGCAGAGTACTTCGTATAGTTCAATGGACCTGAATGGGGCCGGGTCTGGATCGGCACACTCTCTCCGTTTACGATGACCACAGAGCACGTGGACAGGTGACGGAAGCTCGGGCTCACAGTCACCTGTTCCCTACCCTAAACCTCAAGGGCCAGATACCCGCAGAGAAAGGCGTGAGCAGGAACTTCTCTTAACACACTAAGCACATCTCACAAGACATTTCCCAAGGGTTTTGCCCTGTGGTACTTCCAGAGAGCACGTTATTGCAGGGTAGGAAACTGAGAACATGTCTATAGTTTACCGCTCTCCATGAAAACTTAAATTCTGGATTAAAACTGTGTTCTCAGATTTAAGTTTACTTAGGTTCATATTACTGGATATCTTTTGAAAAATGAAACCTGATCATTATTTTTCATTTTAGGTGCTATGTCAGTTGAAAGGGGGTACACAAATGCTGTGTATAGACAATTGTGGCACAAGAGAACTAAAAGCACTTCATTTGGTTCCTCAGTATCAAGACCAAAATAATTATCTACAGTCAGGTACAAAGTAAATTAATAGAAAAATATGTCATATATCACATGGAAGTTGGTAAGTGACTATGTTTGGCTTTGTATAGAGAGTAAAAGTGAAATTGGCAGTGAGGCAATTTGGCAATCCCCATAGCCCATATGAGTGAGCTAAGGATAGAAAAAAATATCTTTAGAGATTAATTTATGTACATTGTACTGACAATCTCAAATTCTTGGATAGCTGTCCTCTCCTTCTGCTAGTTGCAGAGAGCTTTGTGATCCTACCAGGTGACTGCTTGTACCCATGAGTGCTGTGGCTAGAGGCACCTGGGTTGAAACATCAAGCTTTCGCAGATTGGGCGGCGGGTTGACTGTTCAGATGTGGTAAAAACTGCATATGTTTTAATGTAAACGTTTTCATGTAGTCAGTGAGAACTGCCACCCTGCTTTAATCACCGTGAGTTCTGAAATGACTATATCAAATGCTGATTTATCTGCCATTCATTTACTCAGAAACGTCTTTAAACTGGTGCGATAGTAATAAATGATCTATAAGTACTTGATTACCATCAAATGACTTAGGAATGATTAAAGAAAGGCCAAATGACACAGTTTTAGGATTGTGTTTACAAAGGTTAGACACTAATACTTGAAAACTTGGCACCTATGTGTACTGTATACATAATTGCGTTACTCTAAAGTTTGGCCTAACCAGAGCCTCTCATTATCAGATGATTCACGGACCTTGTCAATAATTTAAATCAGTATTACATCCAAATGTCACATCAACGGGCCTTTGGAGCCCAGTGCAAAAAGAAAGAGTGGGATTCCCATTCCATCCTGGTGGTCTCTTTATCCAGGGACAGGGAACATGCCTTTCAGACATTTACTTTTCTATGGTGCAGAGCACCTTCAGGAGCACTTTGCTGCACACCAGCCACGGCTTCTCCGGCTCCGTTCCCTGCGGGTCAGAGCTGCATCTGCACCTCTACAGGCAGAGAAGGGTTCTTTCCTAATTCCCTTCCTTCTGGAACATGACAAAATCCTAATGCCTTTAGATCACCTACAGAAGGAAGATTTGCATAATGCTCTCCAAGTCTATTTCCTTGTCATGTCATCATAACCGCCCCCCAGCCCAGTCTCCTTTGTTTTGCTGTGCACACATTAAATATCTCCTTAAAATAAATGCATTCTGTTACCGAAGTCTTAAGGTTACATCACTCAAAGGATGCACAAGCCTGGAGCAGGAAATGTGTTCAGCTGGTAGGCAATCAGGAGACTAAGACACATTTCTCCGGCCACTTTGACTCAAACATAGAGTTTCACAGGGACCTTAGTGTCTCAGGGTTGTTTTGCACGGCACGCTGAGGCCAAAGAAATACCTATCGGTTCCAGTCTTAAGTAGTTTGGTCCCAGTAGCCTAATAAGTATTTACATCCTGATTAGTTAGTAACCATTTGAAGAAGAGTGCAGGTAAATTGAAAGTAGTTCATGTGGCGTCCTCCAGATGGCGCTGTGCTCCCCGCGAAAATGTGACATGCCTAGCGCGTCCCTGGTGAGTTCGGGGCAGCACTGGAGGGCACCTTAGCGCACAGCTTGGGAACCTGGGCACTGACAGCATTTTTTAGCATAGCTATCTCTGGAAGTTCGAGTGAAGCAGCATGATGACAAAGAAAAGGGTGTGATAAGTAAAAACAACAAAAAAACCCAAAACATTGACCAGAAAGGTTTTATAGAGAACATAAATAGGATCAAGATAAGGGTCAATGACTTTGCACATGTTCAACTCAAGATACATGATCATTTTTGTACTTTCTTCCATGTGCAAGTGGGAGAGGAACAATATATGCTATCAATTAATTGTAATTGTCTTCCTTACAGATGTCCCTAAACCCATGACTACTTTAGTAGGAAGATTTTTGCCAGTACCAGCAAATTTAAATCTCATTACACAAGTGAGTCATTGTTTTAATTAAAAAAAATACAATAGGGGGCTTCCCTGGTGGCGCAGTGGTTGAGAGTTCCCCTGCCGATGCAGGGGACACGGGTTCGTGCCCCGGTCCAGGAAGATCCCACATGCCGCGGAGCGGCTGGGCCCGTGAGCCATGGCCCCTGAACCTGCGTGTCTGGAGCCTGTGCTCTGCAACGGGAGAGGCCGCAACAGTGAGAGGCCCGCGTACCGCAAAAAAAAAAAAGAAAGAAGAGTTTAAAGCGCTTTTATGATTACACCATAATATGCATAGATTAAATATAATTATAAGAAAAATGTGCTCTTTTCCATAAGTCTTGTTTTTTTTAAATTTTTCAGTTTTGACAGTCTAGGGTTGTATTTTTTAAAATTAATTAATGTATTTATTATTTAATTTTGGCTACGTTGGGTCTTTGTTGCTGCGCGCGGGCTTTCTCTAGTTGCGGTGAGCGGGGAGCTACTCTTCGCTGCGGTGCATGGGCTTCTCATTGCTGTGGCTCATTGCGCAGAGGTGGCGTTTAAAGCCCCGAGACTAGAGGAGATCTCTGAGGCAGTGGGTATAAATAGAGTGAAATATTTGCTGAGTGAGTAAATAAATACTTCTCGAATGATCCATTAGCCAGGAGGGGCAAGGAGTTAATCAGGGCCGGAGATGAGTGTCAGCCTGATGCCATGAGCGCCTGATGCAAGTCTCTGTTGATGCTGCACGTAGGCCTCTACCTCCTTGCCTCCTCCACACCGTGGGTCTTGTTTTGCTAATGGTTTCAGCCCCAGTCAGCAAGGCACACGTTGGACTTGCTTCTCTACCACTGCACTCGTGCACTGAATGGCCCCTTTGGACCAGAGTCTCCCTCTTTCTGCCCCTCCCCTCTTTTCCTTGGCTGTGTTTAGACCTACCTCATTTTGGCTCCCCCGACCTCTTATCCAGTGTGGACCTTGGGGTAATTATTTTAGCAATGCATTTGCTGCAACCCTAGAACCCCTGGCTTCCTTGCCAAACCCCAATTCTGTATATTCTTCAGCTCTTTGCTACTCAAAGTGCATGTGGTGTGTGGACCAGGAGCGTGGGCATCACCAGGAAGCTTGTTAGAAATGCAGGATCTCGGGCTCCACCCCAGACTCACTGACACAGAATCTGCATTTTAGCAAGATCCCCAGGTGACGTGACGGGGAAGGACCCTCTTAGGTTTTATTTCTTCCATCCTAGGCAGTTCGACATTGCCGAGGAAAGTCACGGACTCTAGTATAAAGCTGCCCTAGGTTTACCACTTATGTAGTACTGAAAAGACATCTCTCTTTCTCTGCTTTACTTTGGGGCTAAATAAGCAAAGGAGAAAAAGAGCAATTGTATCTGGTTTATGCAAAGAATTGTCTCAACCCCAAGAACTGTGAAATCCTTTCTTCAAAAGAATGCAAAACTTTGGACTGCCACCTGGAGAATTAGGTGTCTGGGTGATTGCAGAGGAAACAGTTGCAGTAACCTGTGAACACTTCCCTCCAGTAAAGTGAGTGAGAGGAGAGCAGAGCCCCCCAGCTCTCGGCCAGACCCAAGAGGGCGGGTCCTGGGGGTGACTCCTCAGTGGGACTCGGGGTTTGGGGTGGGGGGCGGATTTGTAATGAAGGAGTTGGACCCAGAGCGGTTTCTCAGTGTCTTCAGGCCCCAACAGGGATTACACACAATTTAAAAACAGGCAGAAGAGAGAAAAGAAGGAAGATGAATAAAATGTGTTTTTCCAAGACCATGCTTTTTCTTTCTTTCTTTCTTTCTTTTTTTTTGGGGGGGCTCACGGCTTGTGGGATCTTAGTTCCCCAACCAGGGATTGAACCCAGGCCCTCGGCAGTGAAAGCGCGGAGTTCTAAGTTCTAATTCCCTGGACCGCCAAGGAATTCCAAGACTATGCTTCTTAAAAGCTTATTTTTAAATTTCAAGTTTTCAGGGAGGAAGGGACAAGGATAAGATGTTTAACTGTGATATATACAAATAATCTCAAAACCTAAATTTATTCAACACTTTAAATTTCTTCAAGCTTCTGATAAGAAGAGAATTAGGTCAGTGTTGATTTTACTACCCTTTCCTTTCCCTGTGAGCCATGCTAATGGATAATATAAAGGAAAATGAGAACGGAGAAAGCAAAGGACATGGATAATGCAGAGATTATGACATTGCTTTTGAACTTGTTAAAATTGACTACAAGATTTTTTATGACTACATGAAAAAGTAATTGTTGCCAATGAGACTTCAGACGTCAAGATCTCTTGTGTTGTACTAAGAATATAATAATAATTAAAGAACATTTTTAGCTTACAGAAATTTGTAGTTGAATTTATTTCACAGTTTGTAGTTCATCAAAGTGAAAAAGGTGCCCATTGCAATATCGCCGGCCAGCCAACTGACAGCTGTGTGTACTGCTTGCCAGCTTGTGGATGGCCTGGCCCAGAATCCATAGCCCATTTCCATCTCTGTCCACAGTCAGGGCTTTCTCACCCCAGGGCATCCTGTGGTCAGGCGGGGTGAGATGACTGGGCTGGGCTCCTCCCACTTCTGCTGAAAAGCCTCGGCTAGAACCTGCTCAGGTGTTAGCAGAATCATGGTGGTAATAAGGCCTGGATGAATGTAGAGGGATTGTGATGTAAACCTCTAGAAGAAAAAGAATCATTTTTATCTGTACCTAGGGGCTGACAGGAATAAACTTTCAAAATGTATACTAATTCAAATCATGCTTGCCTTTGACTTTGCACAGCTTGATAATGGAGCCTTACCATCCGTGGTCAACGGGTCTGCTTTCCCTTTGGGATCAACTCTTCCAGGACCACCAAAAATAACTTCGGCTGGGTAAGGATTAAAAGCAATCAGTTGTCGCTTACTTTAATGTTAAGAGTTTAAGAGGCTCTTGGGTACATTTGTGATTTTTTTCCTGAGTTTTAAAATTAGCTTTACCTGCAAACCTTTATGACTTCTAAAATATGATGTTTATGTTCAGCAGTGCACTAACAGTGTTGCTGTGCATGTCTGGTTTGTGGTTGCTGGAAAGACTGGTCTGTAACCTCCATTTGCTTCCACTCTCCGTCCACCGTCCGCTGTCAGTGTTTCAGAGGCTTGCTGCCGTTCCTAGCTCTGTCTTGAGTTCACATTGATTTAAACTTAGCTGCTCTGTTTCTTTTTTGCTGTCATCAACATAAGTAATGGTGTGGCAGGCACTTAATGTCACTTAATGTCGACGGCAGTCTTTATGTGCCTTTAAGGCTGCCTCTGCCCGCTGCCTTCCCTGTTGTGTCAGTTCACGTTCAATGGCAGGGGCTGAGGCACACGGTCTCCAGGTGGATGTGGCTGCTCTTATCTGGGGCCTCGTCTTGCCATTTTAAAGTCATGTCTATAATTGTAACTAATTAAACTAACCAAGCTGGTTGAAACTCTTTGTCGAGTTAAAGAGTAACATTCATGTGCTATTAGTAGATGGGGCAGCCCTTTCTGTTCACGGAACACTTTCGTTGGTGATGGAGATCAGTCTCTTCCTGCCTTCCGAAGTTTTGGGGCACACAGCCTAATGCAGATGTACATCTCAGGACCCGAAAGAAATCAGGGCCGGCAATTTAGGAAACGTAGACTGTAGCCTCTAGACCCTCCGGGCTCCTGAAGTGGCTACCGTCAGGCACATCTCCACCGTGGCACTGCTGAGTGTGAGGACAGTTGTCCGGGGCAGTGTGAGAGGCTTAGGTGGAGTTCTGGAGACTTGCTGGGATTCAGTCAACACTCCACCTCCGCGTCGTCGCTGAAGAGTGTCGGTTGCTCACGTGACTTGCTGCTTCGGTCTTAGCTGTTGGTTGCGGAGCTGGTCGCTGACTCTCGCTCAATTTGATGGACTAAGACTATAGGAGCCTTTCTCCTGCCTCCACTCTTGGCGCCATGGATCAGCGATGGTGTGGTTGCTGTCGCTGTAATTGGTTCTATAATCACGGCTCTTAATGTTTCTGGACAAAACAACTCCGTGGGCAGCCTCTGGATTCTGCCGGCGTGTAATGCTGCCAGCATAGTATCACACCATGTGCCCAGGACGTTCCTATCCGGAAGATACTCACTTTATCTTTCTTGTAATCTGGGAGCATCTGGCCAACAGTATTGCACCGCTATGTGCTTTAGCGTGTCTAGCACATTCGAGGGAATTTGGTGTTTCTAACACTTTAGTTCAAGTGTGCGCTCACAGAGCTACAGTGCCATTTGAGGTTTCTCTGTATTGTAGCTGATACACGTTTGCACAGAGGAGCAGTGGTGAGGGACACAGTCTTCGCTGCAGTGTATTTCTCCTTTTTCCCACCCTCCCCCTGCCTTCTTCCCAGTCTCTACTAGGTCTTCTCTAGTGTGAAGGAATTATGCAGGTCATAAAATATTTTTCTATTGTAAATGATGTGCCAGGAGCAACATGAGCTTTGTTTTTGTATTTTTTTGCTGCAAATAATTACTTGATGTCACACCACTGAATCAGCCAGATGATTTTTATCTCAACATCCATAGTACTGACGGTGTGCTGGAATCTCTACCAATTTATTATTTGTGGTGAGGGAGCTGTCAGAAAACTGTTTGCTGGCTGTTTCATTCTGTATGAGTTCCCAACCATAGCTAATTGGCTAGACCTCTTTACCTCTTTGTTAGGCTTTTTTTTTTTTTTTAAACTTCCACGAGATGAGAGGGTCAAGCTAGGTCTGAAGACATCAGAAAGGAAACTCTGTCAGCCCAACACTGTCTAAACGTTCTAAAACAGTAGATGACGTAAAAGCAGGCCAGCTTGGGCCTTACGGCCAGCAGTGCATATGGGTGAATTCACCCAATCGTCATTCTTTAGAGACAGGTGGTGAACTGGCTAACTTATTAACTACCTTATCATATGAATAAAAATTCACGTCCTGTCACTCTGCATAGCTTTAATAATCTGATTATCAGTCAGGCGTTAATGTGAATTTCGTTACATCATTGATGCCTTTCTTTTTGGTGACATAATGAACATTATAACATGCAAGAGTCCGCTTCTCTGGAAATGTTTTCTTAAAGATGAGGTCATATCTCAGCTGTGGTACAGTTTATTTATAAGGCTTTTCTGAGGCAGAGTTTGTCCACATCTCTTCTAAGCCTTCACTCTTCAGATTGGCAAAAAGAGTAAGTCAGACATTACTATAGAGCCTTGGGAGTTTGTTCCCAGCTTAGTCCATTACAAGGAACCTGTCCCTTTACTGTCCCCTCAGGCGCTCTGTGCTCCTCCCTGATGTGGTGTCTTTGCTCGAGCTGTTATTTCAACTGAAACATCCTTTTGTTGAAAAACAAAAAGCTTCACACTCTTGAAAGTCAACGTCAAGTTCTACTTCTTTCAGAAGCAGTTTGTTTTGTTTTTACATCTCTGTTAAACTGCCCCTGAATTTTATGTCATTTACAATCAGTATCATATAATTTGATAGTTGATTATATGATATCTTCTGTTCTCTAATTTTTCAATTGTGTATATCATCTCATGTCCCAGATTATTTGGTGGATTCCTCTAGAACAGGCACCGTAAATTTAAAAATATATATATATTTTGGTGTTCCCCTGAAGCTCTTATGACGGTCCTGGCCACATGGTGATCTCTTAGTCAGTGCCTGTTGGCATCTTCCTGACACTGTAGGTACTCAGTGAATTGTCCTCTCTGCTTCCACAACTGTGGCAGGTCACCACTGCAGTGTCTCCATGGACCTCCACCTCATTTTTAAAGAGAAGAGTTTTGGTTCCTCTGGACAGGTCGTGCCAGGCCACCCCGTGCCCCATTTTAGAGGCAGGGCTGAGGCCAAGAGCAGTGAAGTCTGTGCACATGTCCCCTTCCCCTGAGCAGCCCATGTGTGAGCCAGGGTGGGTGGGCCAGGAGCAGTGTAGCCAGATCTGCCACCTCCAGGCACCCATGAGAGTAGAAGGCTGCAACTCTCGTCTCTCTACAGGAGAGAACTAGACTAGACGAAGAATAAGTTAATACAGCATTCAGTGACATAGTATGGGGACATAATTTTAAAAACGAGAGACATCTCCAGAAGAAGTAACACTTAGCAGCTCACCCAGGAGTCAGTTACCATTTGCCGTTTCAAATGAGGGAGGACGGGGTCACGAAACAGAAGCAGAGCCGGTGAGAAGAGTGGCGGAGCCCTGATGAGCGAAGCAGCCAGAGCAGAGGGGAGGGTGGGCTGAGCTGAGGCTCGGACTGACCTCAGCCCCGACTGGAGACAGTTGTGTTTGTGAGGGCACGGAGCACAGGCCGAGGGTAGTTCCCGTGCTCTGTGGGGTGACAGGGGACTGTCAGCAAGCCCTGTGTGTGCCAAGTACTGTAGTAGCTCCTGTAGGAAACCCGAGACCAGGATGTGTCCCTGCCCGGAAGCAGCCAGTGGTTGCAGAGGCGAAGCCTGCACACGCAGGCTCGGGGAGCAGGTGGCCGAACTTGAGGGAGGGAGGGAGGGAGAGCCCCAGTCACAGCCGGGGTTTTGGCACGTGTGCTCCTTCTCGTCCCCAGGATCTACCCACCGTCTCACGTGGCCAACATCCCAAGTTCCCTCAGGAAGCAACATTTCAAAGCAGCACTTGGGAACTTGTCCCAATTTCTTAACCCACAGCTGCCTCTCAGGTTTAGCAGCATCCAGCGCACATTCATCTCTCCTCCTCCTTTGCCCTTGGAGATGGCTTCTAGGCTAATCCCCAAAGGAGCGGTGAGGAGGGAGGTCCCCAATGCCCACATGAGACATGCAAAACACGCTTTGATACTGGCGGTAATACTAGTTGGACAGCTCTAACAATGCGAACAGTCGTTTATCTGTCAGTCTTTAATTCATACTTTTCATTAGTGTTCTTCTGATTTTGGAAAATACAGAAAATAAAAATAAAAAGAGCTATTTGGTGTGGGGAGCCACACACAGTAGAGGTTTAAACAGATCAGTGGAAGAAACTCGGGGAAGGCTTCTTAGGGAGCAGACAGCGATAGGGTCCCTGGACGTGCAGCTGGACCTGGCCAGGCACGCTTCCCCACGTGTGAATATGCGTGCCACGCCCCCTCATGATCAGGCACCGATAAATAACACCTGTAACTCTCTGGTGTTGAGATTTTCAGTATTCGTTCAAAAACACCAGGTGCTTAGCTAATTCTCTTTTTAAAGAGTAACGATCTGAATACATTTTCTTTTTTAATCTTTATAGAGTAACTGTTAGCTCATGGGACACAAAGTCTAAAAAGCCATGTAACTGTACCAAATCACAGTGTCTGAAATGGTAAGTAATCACAAATCCTTCATTATTAAATAGAAATAAGGTCGTTTAGAAATCAGTAAGTGGAGCAGAGTCCAGACAGACCTGAATGGCTAGTAGCGTATAGGTTACAGTTAGGACTCAACAGCTGGGTCCTGACGCTCCTTGTAAACCAGAGCAACAAGAAGCCACACTTTCTGCATAAACCTGGTTGGGGTCTTTTGGTGTTATCTTGACCAACTAACCTAGGAAAGGACCTCAAGTGGTGTGATTTTCTTGGATTTTGGTTTACATTGTCTAGCCCCCCAGACAAGTGCTAAACAGGGCATCCTTGTTGAGCATTAACTGTAATATTTCCACCTCCTAGTTTTTAAAAGTTTGATGAATTGGTTTACTCTATATTGAATTCCTCTTAGAAACATTCTCCCCCAGGGATGCCAGCTCCCTGGAGGCTCGCTCAGCGGCGTGGTAGGGCAGGTCGTGAAGCAGAATCATGGGCCGGGGTGGATGGTGTGGCTGAAATAAGGAAGTGGACCGGCCACCCCGACTGACGGCACCGTGCACTCGAGCCCCCGTCCCCACCCTGTCACG